GTCGCCGCTGGGCCGCGTCCTTCTTTCTCATCGAATCTGGAGAGGCTGCGCTGCAGGTGGCTGCACCCAAGGACGAGTGACGTCGCCGCGCATTGCGTCAGCCGCCCCCCAGACAGGAAGACGCCAGTTGTTTACTCAACGGGCTCGCGGCTGAGATGACTCACTGCACGTGGGCGCCAGAAAGGCGCCGCCGCGTGTTGACGCCGCTGAGTTGTTCGTGTCAGGCGGGCTGGCCTTGACACAGATTTTCTTTTTTAGAGGCATGGACGTTCGCTGTCGACTCGCAGGCATAACAGCACTCCCGCCACCAGACAATGCGCCGGAAAGACGAGCTGCTTCCACGGGGCTCGGATGACAGGCGCGCTCGTTCGCCAGGTCCCTCCAGGTTCGCCTCCAGGACCATCGGGAGAATGCAGCTCCAGACTCTGTTCCGGGAACACATCCCACTCTTGAGGACGGATCCCAGCTCCACTGGCTTGTAGCCACAACTTGTCGACCAGCTTCGCTCGTCTCTTCTGACAATCTTTGGTTTCAGCACTTGTCGATGGTTCTGCAACTTGTCAAGAACGGTTCGACAACAGACAACACACGACACAAGCAAGTGCCCTCGGTCACCCGACAGAACACCAGACAAAGTATAGTACAACATATACCTAGCTACGTGTCTATCGGAATTTCGTTCCCTCTACATCAGAGGCACACGTGGGACACAAGTCTCTTAAAATGAGAGCTCAACTTTTTTTGACACATACAACAACGCAACGAATTAGAATACCACATAGAGTAGGCCCCTTGAGATCACTCTGAACGAGAGCGCTCAGCCCAGGTCGTGATGAGGTCAAAATTTTGCCCCGAATCGCCAGCGAGAAACCGAAAGGTTGAGAAGGTACTAGCTAGAACGCACTGCTCAATGCACCTGCATAAGCGTTTAGCTTCCCTTTTTTCTTTAGCGAACGTCAAAGTTGCGCTGTCGGAGTATCACGCTCCATCTCAATAACCGGTCACTTTTAGGCGACGATACCTATGCGGTACCAAGAGCGGCTCATACTTGCGACGTTGCAGAGGGGAACAACGATACGGTTTGCTAGGGATCGGCTCCTCACAAGTTAGCTCTATATCGTGTTCGATCACCGCCGTGTCTCCGGGACGGTCCGAACACACGTCTCATATCTTGGAAACAATCTTTCTCGGGTCCTCCTTTTGGACTTCACTTAACCTAGGCTCTAGGTTCAACTGCTCCAAAATTACCTCCGATCCCCTTTCGATTACATCACTAAAACTCCAAATTTCTGCTCCCTCTTCCTCTGAAGCATTCAAATGCAGATTTACGACTGCTTTCGAGTTACTGTGATAAATTTTGTTCGGCCGCCTTCCTAATTTCACTTCATAATTCGTATCGGAAAGCTTCGATATTACTTTGGCGGGCCCTTCCCAATAAATCTCAAGCTTGGTCTTTTTGAACGGCCGCAGCAGCATTACCCGACTTCCTACTTCAAAAGCGCGCTTCTTCACCGATTTCTCGTAGCGCTCCTTCGACAGCACTTGTGCCGCGTTTTTGTGGCTTTCCACTAGCGCTTCAATCGAGAGGTTCTCACGCTGCTCTCGAATGAGAGTCTCTCGATCAACCCTCGGAAGCTCACTCCAACTTTCCGCTACAGGCGAGAGCGTTGCAGCCCTCTCGCTCTGATTCAATGGTGCCATGTCGTCTCCCCTTGCTACGGAAACCGCGCCGATCGCTTCGGCGACGGGCCGCTCGCGTGACTGCTCACATGACTCAAGCGGAAAATTTCCTCTCTGAGGTTCCGTCGACCCGCCGACAAGGTCACTTGAGAGTTCACCGCATTGAACAAGATCAAGCTCCTGCGAAAGCTTCCGCGCTTGCGATCGCGTGAGGGCCATGTACGCTAAGTTGGGGAAAAACAATTTACCCTGTTCTTTGAGAAGCTGCTCTGAGTTGTTAGAGAAAAGATACGGAAAACGATCGGGAAGCGCGGCAGACACAGCCGCTTCGGTGCGAAGCTTACCGAACGGGCCTTCAATGACAACCGTGGCGATTGGTAAACAAGCACTCTGCTCCTCGGCGACTTGCCTGATCCACGCGCATTCTCCTGTAAAGTCATCCGGAGACACCAATGAAGGATGGACAACATCCATGGTTGCCGCTGAGTCACGAAGTGCTCGACACGTTTGCCCATTCCCACTAATTTCTTGTATATACGGCTCCAACAACCGCATGTTCTTTTCCGATTCTCGGATTGTTGCAAAAGCAAACTTTTGCTTACAGTTTATCGCGATGTGCCCTTCCCTTTTGCAGTTGTAGCAGATTAGTGGCTTCCGTGATTCAAACGCCCGTGTGGGATCAGTGCGTTGTTTAGAAACCTCACTCGATTTTTCCGCTTCTGTTTGCCCTTCCCCTACAGTGTCCTTCGTAAGAGACGGGTCCTTCTTGAAATTACGGTGCGGAGCGGGTTTCCGTTGATCAGGTTTCCTTGAAAAACCCTCTTTCCTGTCATCCTTTTCAATGCGCACTGCCCTGCTATGCAACTTTCGGCGAGTATAATACTCCTCAGCTAACTCTGCTGCCTTGTTTAGCTGTACTTCACCAAGTTTGTCCTGCAGCCAAAGTTTGACATCCTCCTCGATGCAGCGGTAGAATTGCTCCAATGCAACGCATTCCACCACTTTATCGCGGTCGTCATAAACACCTTCACCCTTGAGCGATTCAATTAAATCGGCTTTAAGACGAAACGCGGAGTCAACGTGTGACTCATTCCCCTTTTTAGCATACCGGAACCTTTGCCTGAAAGCCTCGGGTGACAACTTATAACGTCTCAAGAGAACTTCCTTAACCTCGTCATAGCTCTCAAACGCTTCCCTCGACAAGCAAGTTATCGCGTCGAACACTTCGCCGGGAAGAAGAGCTAACAGGTTCTGCGCCCAAAGAGACTGCTCCAAAGCGTTTCGCTCACACACGTGTTCAAACTTGACGAGATACTTCGCCATGTCTTCGCCTACTACGAACGGTGGCAGTTGGTCCCGACTTCTAAAACCACTGACCTGAATCGTCGGAGAAGCTACGCTAGGTGCCTGCGAACACTGTAGGATTGCCAATTCTATTCGTTTTAACTTGAAGCGCTCCTGTCTCCCGGCCTCCTCGCGCTCGCGCCTTTCAGCTTCTTCCCGTTCACGAGCTTCTCGCCTTTCAGCTTCTTCGCGAGCTTCTCGCCTTTCAGCTTCTTCACGAGCTTCTCGCCTTTCAGCTTCTTCACGAGCTTCTCGCCTTTCAGCTTCTTCACGTTCGCGAGCTTCTCGCCTTTTAGCTTCTTCACGTTCGCGAGCTTCTCGCCTTTCAGCCTCCTCGCGGCGTGCTTTGATATCCACCCAGGCCTCATCGACTTCCTCAGCCGAAACTCCTTCATCTCTCATGATCTCAAGGATCGCTTGCTTTCGTTTTGCACGGCCCAAAGTAATGCCGAGTTCCTCACAAATTTCGATGAGTTCTTTCACTTTAAGGTTCTCCATCGTTCACACTAGCCTCTTGCTGTTTGCCCCTGTTAACAATCTACTTGCCGTACCCACTATAAGCCTACTAGCAAGACATGCAAGCAATTTTAAACACTCCCGTGTTTACACCCTCCGCATTAACTTTGGTTTCAAAGCGCTTCGACTTGGCTTGAAACAATCAAAGCTCACTTCAATGCTTCACACAGCCCTTCTCTAAACTACTACAACCTGAGCTAGAGTAGTCTGGTGAACTGAGGGGAAAACATCAGGCACTCACCGCATCGATGTCGCTGACGCCGGCCGATCCCGCAGCTGCCAACCACTGTTGCGATCGCTGGCCGATCCCGCAGCTGCCAACCACTGTTTCGAAAGACGGCCACGCCAACACGGTCCCGAAGGCGCCACTGCTTCGATCTCCGCCAGGAAGGTCACCAGCCGTTTGGTAGCGTAGGTTTCTCAACTCGCGACTGCTTCTGCGCAGAGCTGATAGACGAGCGGACGAGACGAGGGTGAGTTAAACAAGGTTTATGTACAGCATATATACAGAGGCGTTACAAATTCGGCACTGGGGCCGACAGAGACTCGAAGAGCCGAGCTCTCCTCTCTAACACATAGGCCTGCTTTCAAATGGGTCTGCTGTCAAAGGGGGGTCTCTCTCGACGCGCCGCAGGGCTTCTTTTATATGCCCCGGGTCCAACCCAAACGTCCAACCTGAAGAGCCGCTGGTTGCGAGGTTCGAATCCTCCAATGAGGTCGCCGCTGGGCCGCGTCCTTCTTTCTCATCGAATCTGGAGAGCTGCGCTGCAGGTGGCTGCACCCAAGGACGAGTGACGTCGCCGCGCATTGCGTCAGCCGCCCCCCGGACAGGAAGACGCCAGTTGTTTACTCGACGGGCTCGCGGCTGAGATGACTCACTGCACGTGGGCGCCAGAAAGGTGCCGCCGTGTGTTGACGCCGTTGAGTTGTTCGTGTCAGGCGGGCTGGCCTTGACACAGATTGCCTTTTTTAGAGGCACGGATGTTCGCTGTCGACTCGCAGGCATAACAATAGTCAGGAAAGCTTAATGCATGACGGCGCTTTGCGCTACACTGCATTTACCACGTGTACGCCCATGTTCTTGCACAAGTAAAGTATAAAAAAAATTCTTTTAAGAGTTCAGAAGGCAAATGGCGGCGCACCGCAATCATATCGCGGCATCAGCGGCGGCGTGGTCTTTTTCGGAACTTCAGCGGCTGCGCGACCAGCATGAGCAAAAACAAGCGGCAGCGCACAGATCAAATGGGTACCCAAGTTCGCATGAGGTGAGGAGGCGGGAAAAAGAGCTTGAAGCGTACAAATTTCAGCCTACTGAATGCAATGCAATCATGTACAAAAAACTTAGCAATTTGTAACAGAGAGTAATTTGGATCAGCCAGGGTCGCACCACAGAGATTTTACACTTTATATGCATTTTGTTTATGTGCATACGTCAATGAGTGCTCTATTCGAAAGCTCACCTGCTGGCATAAGACCTGTAGACCAATGGCTGCGCCAGCTTCTGCTAGCGTCCTGATGACCAATTCCACAAATGAGGGTATGCACTGCGCACAGGACAAGACATGGCCACAGTTAAAAGTGCTACTTTCAGCCCCACTAAAAGCAACTAATGGGCTTTCCAATCTGGTGGTGCACCGCGAAGAAAATAAAGCCGCGACGCAATGTTAGAACTCTTCAACACAGGCCAACATATATTGCAAAGGCAAAGAGTAAACTTAGAGGTCCTCTTTATTCGTCCAAGACCTCTCCAGATGTTAGACATGCACTAGAAGGAATGCCTTGCGCTAGTGCTACAGCATACTTCAATAGTGATCATTAGAAACCAGATTTTTAGGCAAATCACATTTTATGCACAAAAAATATGCAGGCAAAACACAGTTCTAGGCCCCAAACATGGCAAAAGCAGGCACATTTAAATTTTCAAGAAAAACATGCATACTCTTTGTCTATGACACCAAAACAAAAATATGGTATAGTTTATTATGGCATAAATAGCCTAACATAGTCATTCAGCTGTACTTTTTGCCAAACAGCTTGCAAACACAACCTCTCCTTTTATTGTCCATCACCATGGTGAGTTTTTTTGGCATGGCCAGACTGCTAAAAGGCCACTTCTCGCCTTATATTGGTCAGATCTAAGTTATCCCCTGTCTCTCGGGCACCTGGTGTGAGCATTTGAGCTGTCAAGCACGCACTGGGCACTCACAATCACATCTGCCATGATGTGCAGCACCACATGCCCCAGAAAGAGATGAATGCCAGACCTAGTGGTGTCAGTTTAGGAAGTTTAGCATTTGAAGCCATTTTTAAGAGCAGAAAGAAGTCTGTTTTGGAGCACCTTCAGAGCAGCAGGAACGGTGTTTTCGAGCAGGCTTAGAGCAGACATAACGGCATTTAGGTTCAATTGAAGCAGAACTTGTCAATTTTTGGCGAATGTTCTTATTAGTGTGCATACTGAAAACCCTGCAGCAATGTGAACAGGGCCTACGACCAGTTCGCTACCATTAATCAAGGTCTAAGCACGAAAAAGTGCCACATCCCGGCTCCACTGCACTTGCCAAGATGTGTGTTGAAGTGAAGCATAAATGACTAAGGCAAGCATACACACACACTATTTTTGCGAATCACAGGTGCCATAAGCTCATTAAACAGAAGAAGCCGTAACTACAAGATCAGCAGTTTAACAATGAAAAAAAAAAACACTGAAGAAGAAAACTCTCTGGAACTGAGAATATACACTAGACTCTGAGTAAACAGAAATCTTAAACGGCAGAACAACTGCCTTTGACATGATTGCTTTCATACCAAAGTGTTGCAACCCTGTTCATTTCTCCATAAATGGGGGTCCTGTTTAATAGAACCCATTTCCCTGTCCCTTAAGGTTCTGCTTAATTAGAATCTACAAGACTATTTGAACTTACCTGCACACATAGTGCATTCAATAATCACCACAACTCACTAAGGGTGATGTTCCATCGTACTCATTAATTTCTAGAGGCGTGAGCACCACATGGCATTCTCCATTCACTTTCAAGGACTCTAGGTTGACCACTTACTACCAGTTTTCCAAATATTTAGAAAGTCTTCCAACAGAACAATACCAGTAGAGAGGAGACAAGTACAAAGCGGGTGGGGTCAGTGAGCAACACAAGCATTATTGGGAAGGACGCTCTTCTTGAAGGCAGCCTCCAACAAGACAAGCCCACTTGTAAAAACATTGCTTTCAGCATCGACAACCCGTGTTTAAGCATTTTCCCCCTTAATATGTTGTCAAGGTGCAATTGGTGCATATGAGTCCCCGTGCTACTCGCTCAGTTGTGGAATAACTATGGTATCCTGTGAAAAGCACAAATAGCCGATTAGGTGGGAAAAGCTCTTCAGGGGAAAGAAGGGGACTAATGCACGTAATTTACTGTTTTGCTTGGCAATTTAGACAAAATAAAGCCACCGCACAGCTCTTTAATTGGTTTATGAACAGCAAGAAGTCCCCGTGGCAGGCTCAAATCTCATGTGATTTACGAACTGTGGCCTTGGACGGAACAAGTCCGGAAGATTCGCAAGCCAAGCAAATTCGACCCTTTGTTCGCAATAGCAATTACACAGAAATTCTCAACTCCTGTCCGGTTTTAGCTGTCGACATTGCCATCATGCTTCACATAAAGTTTAAGCTGATAACACAACCCCCACATGTTGTATGTACTCCCCGCAGCACGCGAGCGGAATCAATGAACGCAACTGAACCAGATGCCAAATGAGCTGGCTCATCTCCACTGCTCAAGCAGAGAGGAAACATCCTGCTTGTCTTTAACTAGCATGTAGGCACATGGGGAGGGGGTTTCACTTGAGCAGCAACTGTGAACTTTTATTCTAAGGACACGGTCACAATCACTGGTGCGCACTATCTCAACATGCTGCACTCTCAATGCAAAAAGAGCATTTCGCCATAAAGCAGCCATATTCTCTCACACCGATGCTTTTTGGAGCTAGTGATATGGGATCCAAAATTCTTACTTTGTATATCACTACAATTTGTTTTTATATCATTTATTGCTCCGCTGTTGCAGTGAAAAAACAAATTGTTTTAAAGCCATTTAAGGCGTGCATGAGAGCAGTTCCCTTAGTGGCTGATTGCATGACTCAGTGTGTATAATGGCTTGCCACCTAACTTACATCGGTTTCGCAATCAAGACGTATGACAAGCACTTGAATGTGTGCGAGCAGCAGTTGTACCACATCCCACCAGATGCACTCGAAATAAGCATTTAGGCTTAGTGTAGCGATAGGCATACTGAAGAACATCACACAGCGTGATTAGGAGGCTTTTACTTAATTTTTTCTTGCGAAGTAAACTTCAACAAATTTTTATTTGCCTGAAGACTCCATTTACAGCAAGCATTGCTGATAGTTTAAGCTGCTTAGCAGCGGTGGCTACGTTACAGTATGCGGAGTGACTCGTGAACAAAAAAGGTCACTCTACTATCTGTTTCCGCCAGTTCTGTTACAAATAAAGGAGACATTCGACAGCCTGCTAAGCTTTCAACAAGGGAGAAATGCACAGTAGTGCAGAGACTAGGGTTATGGTGAATATAGTGGCAAAAAGCATCTCGCTGAAATGGAGCAAGTACAAAGTATCGGTAGCATTATGGACAAGTTATATATGTTTCTTGCGATAAAAAATATTTTTGAGCCATAAACAATGCAATGCTGTGTTAACAGGTGAACCAGTGAAGTTTGGCACAGTTGGCACAAACTTTACTGAAACGAGTGCAACAAGGCGCACCACACGGAATCGTAGCTATATGGCGTAGTTGGATCACCACTGCAGACAGAATGCTCCTTTTCGTTCATCTCACGAGTGCATGCCCATGAAGGAGGTCACTTACAACAAGGAACAGTATTACGTACGATACAGAAGTATGTGATGCAGTAAAAATTATGCGAGGCAACGTGTAATTTGTAATTAAGTGCTTGAATAGAAGAATGAAAGTTGATAAAATTATATTAAAACACATGAACAAAATCTGCACATGTTTTTGTTATTTTTAGTTTTCCCTTGAATCGATCGAGATGCAGGACTAAGCTGGTGTCATTTTGCTTGCCTTTGTGTTCTCGCCATTCCCACATCGTGCCAGCGTTAGCCTTGGCAACGCTTGACATAGGCATGCGTAGAGTTCCCCTTCAGAAGGAGGGAGGGCAAAGATTTGTTGCCCTTCCCTACAAGGTCAATGCATGGGGCCGACCTTGCAATTCCCACCTAGTTGAAGTGCCCCCCTCCTTATCATGTGAACGCATGGGGTTGAGTTTGCGCCACCCCTCTTAGCATACCTGCCAAGTTCAACAATTCTGAGAGATGCGATGAGGGCTTGTTGCTAGCTCATCTTCAGTAAGTTTCCTTGTGGCGCACATAAACAACAGGAAGAAATTAAGGCACATGTAGACAGACAGAGCCCGTGAATAAAGGAACAACATAAATGTAAGTACATGCGTCCATATATATGAACGTGCACTGATAATCTCATGTCTTGCGCTGATACTTTAACTCTTTTTCCTGAAAGTGCTATCGACGGCTGGCTTGCACACATATCGCCAAGTGCTGCAATTTGTTCAGCTTTTATTACAAGACGAGTCATTTCACATTTGCTTCTAGCTATTATTCTGGTGTTATCAAAGATAGGAGACCATTGATGCTGTCTACAATGTTGCGTGAGAAAACCACCACTAGCATTTTTTCCAACTTTATTTTTGTGCTCACGCAGCCAATCATCGATGCATCTTTCTGATTGCCCACGTACCATTTTTCACAAGTTAAGGAAATGCCATAAATACCTGATGTCACACATTCAGCATACTTATTTTTGTGTTTTACTTGGCAGTTCACAACAAACTTTTTTCCTGGTTTCGACCGTGTGCAAAGACTAATGAGCTTATTACACGCTGAGAAAACAACATCAGTTTTACTATGCATACCTGCCAAGTTCAAAGATTCTGAATCCGGAAGATTTCCGCAATGGGTGGGGGTGGGGGTGGGGATGTGCGCAACATACCCGCACAAAAAAAAAAAAAAAAACAAAAAAAAACAAGAACAAAAAAAAAAACATCGCGCAAAACAAAGAGGGGTGGGAGGGGGGTCTCAATCGTAAGTGCCATTATCGGCGTAGCGGTCTTATAATGGCTACGAGTGGCCGACCCCACGCGGGTAGAGTTTTCACTAAGGTGAGAGTCTCAAAGAATTAACACAACTAGCAGAATCTATTTCAGTCAAAACAACTCGCGTTTGTCTTCCTGGGACACACGTGGACAGACAGGACAGCGCAGCTGGCTGCCACAATAGGATGGGTTAAAGCTTTGCTCACTACTAGATTCTTTTAACAAGAACGCCAAAAAGCGTCTGGCCCCTTTTTATTGAGATAGCAATTATATGAACAGTCCAGGCTTTTTTTTTTTTTTTGCCGTCGCCACCGCCACCCTTTTTCACCATGCATACGTATCTATATATATTGTGAGCGCCCGCATGCGCACTATAGCGTAGCGGCCTATCTAATCG